TAGGGAATTGTGTGTGTGGGGTGTGTGGAGGGTGTTCCTAGAGATCGATCGTGAGAGTTGCGGATGTTTAGTTTCCTAAATTGGACGGTTCCAGGATTGAATGAAGTACCAGTGATTTCGCAGGGCGAGATCCAGGATTTCCTGTAGATTGGGGGATACCGTCACCCCTGATGTCTACGGGTGATGAGATTGAAGCAGTTGCCCAGCATCCCCACCCCCAGCTCGGCAGCCTAACGCTCCGTTACAAAGACCCCGGGCTTCGCTCCCGCCTGGATCTCTGCGAATGCGTTTAGTAACCCGAGCTGTGTCGTAGGCGGGGCCGGGAAGGGGTTAACCCGTGGAAAGGACGGGAGGGATGACGGCAGAATTGGGGGTCTTGAACGTCCCCCCTGCGCGGACTCCTTCCCCACTAGGCCCCACCCGTCTAGAAGAGGCTCACGTGCTGGATGTTACCTTTGTAGCATCCCCCACTGCTCTGCTCTTGGGGCCTGAACGCTCGTCCTCGTCCCGCCCCACCCCCTGAGCCTGGGAATAATGGACTTGTCTCGGGGGCCCGGGGTTGCGACGCACTCGCGCTGGAGCTGGAGCTGGAGGCTCTGCTATTGAGACCTTCTGGGCGCAGAGATGTCTCCAAGAACTGCCTCTTCCTCTTAGTCAGGAATCGGAGGCCCAAAGACCAGGAGATCCTGGTTCCAGAACACGCAACGTGGAAGGGCAGGAACGGGCTAGAACTCAGGCCTCCTCGGGATTCCCAGTCCTGGGCTGTGACTCCTGTATCCCCCAGTGCTTCAGCACCCCCACCAGACCCACAAAGTGAGACCTCGCTCCCCAGCCTCTGAGGTCTGTGGTAGTGGCGCCACCTAGCGATCAGGCGCCGGAATACCGGCTGAGTCCCAGACAGCGATGTGCCTGAAGGCAGGGCTCTAGGCTCCCAGTCAGGGCTTGGACGTGCGCTTAGACATTTTTAAATGGTTCTTTAAAAAGGCTTTCGCAGGTCTTTTCCAATGAAACTTTACTGCAAAACCCACTTCATAAGGCAAATAAAATGAAGGTTGCTATTATTGCCTTCACCCCTGGAGCTTCTTAGTCAATGAACCTCCCATTGTACAGATAGGGAAACTGAGGCATGGAGTGACATGTCTCAAATTAGTCACATATCTATTCTGAGCTTCCTCCGACCTCGTCTTGGTTTCCCCTCTGTCCATTTTCTTCCTTTGGGACGTACTGGGGCGCTAGGGGGCCGAGTGAATTCTCCCTCCCCCGCATTTATAGCGTTGCCGCTTGTCGCTGCTGTCCAGGCCAGACAACTAAGAGAAGCCGCTGCATCCGAGGTGGGTTCCTCAAGTGGGATATGGGTCAGGGGCAAAAGGGATAGAAGCAAAGGGGGCTGGAGGCACCCTTCCCCAGCCTCATCCCAGTTACAGGGCTTTAGGAATTGAGTGAAGAGACACTGGGCCGGTTCCTCCTCTGCTTAGTCCCTGGCTGTCTTTGAAGCCTCCTGCAGGGTCCGAAGTTGCCGGCCAGAAAAGTGCGCAGGCACCCAGCGGTGCCTGATCCCAGGGTCTCCATCAAGAAGCCCCAGCCCCAGCCCCAGCCCCAGCATCAGCCCCAGCGTGAGGAAGAGGCAGGTGGCCCTCAACTGGCCGGCCCTC